GAATTTGTGACGATTTTTTGAATGCGTGTGTCATTTGTGCCGTAGAAAAAGTACTTGCTAAGGTTACAAATCAAGATGTAATGACTCGGTTTCTAATGATGAAAACTCGTAGAAATCAACTTATGTAATCACGTATTATTAATTATAATGATTGATGTGTTGGTACATTGTTAGTTTAAGTGACCCCAGTGTATAAAATTCCTGGATCCGCCACTGGTCATATCCTTTAGACGATGACAAACTTATCCTACAACAATATTCAAATTGTTACAAAAAAAAAATTCATACCATTAATCAATACCGAAACCGAAAATGAAAAATAAATACTCAATAATATATATTTGAAACGTATTGCATGACATGTTCAAACTTCAAATTTGATGTTTTTCACTAAAAAAATTCATTACAAATTTACGAGAATCATACAAACAATATTATTCGAAAAGAAAAATAAAACCAAATAAAGTACAACATCGTATTCACAATCAAATTGACGACATATCGACCGTGGATTCGAGACTAATTGTCAAACGAGGATGCATATCGATCATTCATAAAACAAGGCACACACTCGACAGCTAAGCTATCGTTTTGAATCTATATGATGCATATGAAAGAGACGACAAACCCCAGCTATGGTGGATGAGTTCGGCTTTCGAATCCTGACCCGATGCACCCATGGCAACATGCAACGGGTAGAAATGGTCGGGCCATGGATGTGCAACAGTCGCATGTGGAGCCTTCTCCTTGTACTCCTTCACATCTTCATACCTTCCTTCAAGCAGTGCTTGTTTTAGCCACATATCAAACTCTTGAGCCCATGGTTGCACCGAAGTGGTGTTGCGGAGCATCTTCAGGTTGTGGGTGGTCGCACCTGAACCAATTATGAGCACCCCTTCGTCCTTGAGGGGTGCCAACGCCTTACCCATGTTGTAATGGTACGTGGCATCTTGGTCTGTCTGGACAGATAGTTGGCACACCGGAATATCAGCCTCCGGATACATAAGCATTAGTGGGACCCATGCACCATGGTCCAGCCCCCGGTTCTTCTCCTGATCAACTCTCTTGAACCCGGATGACATGAGCAGTTCCTTGACCCGATTTGCCAGTTTTGGAGCTCCAGGTGCCGGGTACTTGAGCTGGTTTTGAAAGTAATTTCAAAAGGTTAGCAAGGGAGACTACATATATAGCATTAAAGCAACCACCTTTTTCTTTTCTTTGTTTTATTAACCTGGATATCCAACCCGCTATACGAGCCGACTAATCCCAGAGCGACCACCTGCTTTGCAGATAGCCCGGAGTCACCGCATTTGAACTTCCATGGCCACAAGGGGATTTTTAAGGCAACCACCTTAAAGTTGCCTCTTTTGCAATATATATACACACATTGTATTTACACAAACACACACGAAAAAGACGAGCATCTCAAATATGCTCGCACATGAAGTAAGATGGCAAACTCATACATGATAGCGGTTGTCACATGCTTGTTGCTTTTATCTCTTCAATCCTCCTATTAAGTGACCGTTTACCCAAATGCTTACCCGGTAAGCGCTTACATATAGTAATCAACTCTATAATTTATTTTGATGCGTAAAATTTTAGTACATCAAAACGTATCGAATGCAACAATTTATCGGATAAGCGCTTACCTGGGTAAGAGTTGTCATCCTCACTTACAAGGTAAGACTCTCCATCCTTCCCCTCACTCTTACCCGATAAGATTCTTGGCTTTTGCCATGTTCATACGATGAGAAAATTTATCCGATAAGCATTTACCAAGCAAGAGTTTAGTAAACGACCCTTAAGTGTCCTTTTGGTTTGCAAGATTGTTCTAGAGGGATTTGGATTGATTGTTTGGTTTGTAAGATTTAGAATGAAATTGGATTTCATTCTTTATAAAAAAATTTATAAAAATAACTATAAAAATAATTAAATTATGTTTTTATTAACGGATTATTATAAAACAAATGTTTTTTTTAACATTTTCTAAAATCTTATTGCAAAATCCACTTAGGATTTCAAAATCCTATGTTTATAGCATTTCAATTTAATCCTAGGATTTCAAATCCAGAAAATTCAACAACAAACCAAATATGGGATGGGATTGGATTGGATTTGAAACTGAAATCGAAATCGAAATCGAAATTGTAATTGAAATTGAAATCGACCAAATCCATTCCATTCCTACAAACCAAATGCGAAATAAGAGCTTTGAGGATCCAAATCAAAAACTTACTTGTATGCACAGAAAATACCTCTTTAGACCTTACAAAAACCATTGCAGTTTGCAATTTGATGTGTTTTCAACAGCTATTGTACTTTGTCAAAAATTTTGATGGTTTTCATTTTCACAAGTAGACAACAAAGTGATCAGGATCATGATTCAAAACTAATTCACTACAACACCTAACGATTTAGGAAATTGTTCTGTTGAACGACATTAATTTCATCCATGAGGTATGAAGTTAAGTTAGGGTTTTGGTTAATTTCAACCAAACCAAACCAAATTATCCCCATCATTGCATAAAATAAAATTAAAAAAAGCTATAAACAAGAGATTTGGAATGAATTGAGAAAGAAGGAACTATTAATTTGAAATCAGAAATTGAAAGACGGTGGATCGAAACAGAAACAGAACCAGAAAGGCGTGTGTGTACCTGGTACATGGATTTAGGGAAACCATAGAAATCGTAAATGGTGTCGGAGGGGCCATCGGAGACAACGTTGAGTGTTGGATAAGTAGTCTCCCAGTGGCCGGAGATGACAAGGATGGAAGAAGGACGGGGAGCATAGACCTTTTGTTGAAAGGATTGCAAGAAATGCCTGGCCGGCATGGTCTCGTCGATGGACAAGGTCGGTGATCCATGGGAGATGTAAAAGGTGTCTTGAATCTTCATCGCCATAATTATGTTGATTTGCAGGAAAAACTATGGGATGAATTGGGGGTTGGTGGTGTTTATATACAAATTGGGATCAACCAACCAATGACGTCGTCGCTTACGCTGCTATGGGTCGACACGATATGCTACCACATAGGATAATTATACAAGGCAAACTTGAGTTAAATGATCGCTTTAAATAAATTAAAAAAAAAATAAACTACAATTTTGTATAATAAAACCCGACTAATCCAATGCGAAATAATTCAATCTAAAGCAACTCAATATCTAATTGAGTCGTAAATTTTTAAATCATAGATAGTGAGTTATTATTATTTGAATCCAATCTAACCCGATTAACTTTTATTAATATATATATATATATATAGGGGACTATTCAAGGGAGAACTGAGTTGTTTGTGGTAACTATGAGAACCAATATTAACCACAAATCAATAGATAAATTAGGAAATTTATAAATTTGGTAATTGTAAATTAAAATCTTAATGCAAGGATATTTTTGGTATTTCAAAACTCTCCTCTCTCCTCTCTCCAGCCACCGTTCTCCGGCCTCCGGTAATACCACTATGATACCACTGTGATACCTAAAAATATTGACTCTGTTAAACAAAAGATACATTGTGA